TTAGAATTCACATGAGTGAGATGATTTTAAAAATCTGAATGTAAGTCTAAAAGAATGCTTTCAATAAGCACACACACAAAAAAAAAAAAAGAAAGAAAGAAATGAAAAATAAGAACTCGTCATGAGGTGGCAAGTCCAGAACTTCTTTGTGTGTACCCTAGGAATGGACAAATAAGCAAAAATATTATGGGTAATGAGAACCATGTTTCTCACCCTTGGAGAAAAACATGTAAATCATGTTTGAAGGAAGAAAGTTAGAACAGACCCTGGTGTTGAATTAGAAACAGAGGAAATAGAAATAAAAAGTCCAGATTTTCAACATCTATACAGATGGATAGATTCAGAAGTAACTGTGTGCTTTGGTATCTTATGTTTTCCTGCCCTACCTGCGGAGGGACCTAGGTGAAGGACACCCCGTATCAATGAGCACCCTCACTATCCAGATGTTGGTATCTAAGTCTCCCAAAAGAGGAATCAGGGAACTCGAAGAAGGGGTCGATTCCAGGGTCGAGGCAGAAGGGAATGAGTTTGGAACATCTATTAACTCTGTAAAATCAGAAACTACTCAAAGAACGGTGGGTACATGTTGAAAGACACAAGAGCCAACCCTGGGGGACTCCCAAAGGCCAAATATGACCCAGTTGGAACCAGGAAATTAAAAACAATTAGCAATGGATTTTTGAACCCACCGGATCAATATCCATGAGCCCACAGTGGTGTGAATAAACAATGGAATAGATGAGGAGGTGGAAGAGAAGGGAGAGCTCTTTCTTACAGGAGAGTTCCCATGAACAAACGTAGACTGCTAATGGAAATAGAAAATTATTATTAGATAAAGCCCACAGTGATTGTGGGCAGCGATCATCAATGGTTGTTAAAATTAGCAGGTAGAAGTACCGGGAGAGACAGGATGTCTTTGCAGTCTCCGAGTAGCTTCCCACAGACACTTATTAATTGCAAAGGGGAGACTGGTCACCTTGCAGGGAGACAGCCCCTTTGTCATGTGATCAAGGTTAACAGCCCCAGTAATAAGACAGATTGGCAGCCGGTGCCCGGGTCTGGTGCTCAGGGCACGTGGTTTCTGTTGTATTCGTGCCCACAAGGTCTGGCTTCAGTCGAATGGTGAAAAAAATAAAATAAAATAAATACAACGGACAAACCTGAACCGAAGACACTCCAGATGAAGCAACCAGCGTTCCTCAAACGTGTCAAAGTCACCAGGCGCAGTGGCACACGCTGGTAACCCCAGCCACTTGGGAGGTTGAGGCAGGAGTGTTGCAAGTTCAAGGCCAGCCTCAGCAATTTAGCAAGACCCTAAGCAACTCAGTGAGACCCTGTCTCTAAATTTAAAAAATACGAATGAGAGCTGGGAATGTGTGCTGGTGGTGAAGCGCCCATAGGTTCAATCCCCAGTACCAAAAAAAAAAAAAAAAAAAGTGGTTGGGGATGTGACTCAGTGGTAAAGAGCCTCAAGGTTCTATCCCAAAAGAAAAAAGTGTCAAAGTCATAAAAGACAAGAACAGAGGGACTGTCCCTGGTGGAAGAGGCTTGACAACTAAGTGCAGTGTGATGTCTTGGATCAGGTCTTGACACCGCCCCCACCCCCCAAAAAAGCACAATTGTGTAACTTTGAGGGAAACTAGGTTAAGGTATCTGGAAAAGTTCTGGGTTTTGTTGTTGTTGTTGTTTGTTTGTTTGTTTTGCAATTTCTCTGTAAGCAGAATTTTTTTCCAAAAAACATAAATAAATAAAATACAAGGGAGGAAATATTCTGTCTTCACTAGAAACATTTTCTTTTCGATATATAAAATGTGCTACTTATGGCTCCGGGGTATCTTAAGATTTGATAAAATCTGGTGTATAGAATAAAAATTCCCTTTCATAACCTTCCAAACCCCTATCCTACCCCAGAGGGGAACTTTCGAGCTTACCCTGAATCATTTGAGGATTTTCTTCTTGAATTGGCCAGTATGTGTTAGGTGTACCTGTCCAGTATGTGCATGTTTTACATAAGTGAGATTATTTAGACTTCTTATTGTATGATGTTCCTTTTTTCTTTTCCCTGTATATTTTAGAAAGTTTTCCCTATGTGTGTGAGTGGAACGTCCCTTTTTCCTTTTTATTGGGGACTGAACCCAGGGCTCACACATGTTAGGTGGGCAAGCGCTCTACTACAGAGCTATATGCCCAACCCTTTTTAAATTTTGAGACGGGATCTTGCTAAATTGCCCAGGTTGCCTTCAAACTTGCAATCCTCCTGCCTCAGCCTCCGAGTGGCAGGCATAATAGGCGTGCACCACCATGCTTGGCTGGTGTTGTCTTTTATCTTGAAGCTGCTTGGTTCTCGGGGGGCACAGATGCTCCATAATTTGTTTAACTGTTCTCCTGATGTTCCTTTAGGTTGCTTCCATTTTTGAACGACTCCCCTGCACTGAGCCTCTTGTGCACCACTTCCAGCCGTACCCTACCCACCAGTGTTTTTCTTTAGGATGAATACCTGGAGATGAATTGCACAGTTGACAAATACTTGCATTTGACAGATTATACCAAGTTGTCCCCCAAATAAAACTGAACCCACTGTAATCCAACCAACAGTGGCAGAGCGCATGTGCCTGTACCCGCTGCCTGCCAACTCTGGGTGCTATCAGTAGTTCGCAGTTTGAGTGAACAGTGAGCCTCCCTTCATCTATTCATTTCATTTTACTGAGCAAAGATTGAACAAAGTGTCTGCTCGCCCTGTGCCCAGAACAGATGAAGCCCTGGTTCTGCAGGACCCCCTGGTAGTTCCCTGCATGTCCCTGGTGGCTAGTGGATATGCCTGTGCTTCCCCGATGGTTTTCAGGGCGTGACTTTCTGACCTCCCTCCCCCAGACTTGTGTCCCCTCTTCTTGCCGGATTCACGCTGGTTTTCTTTCTGCTGGCTGAGCCTGGCTCCCGAGAGCTACTAAGCCTCTTCCTCTATTGGGGGGTTGTGACAAGCTTCCCTGGAGACACCAGAGAGTCAGGCAGGGACTGAGAATGAGGAGAGCAGCAGAGGAGGGTGCATAAGCTGGGGACGAGCTGAGGCTTCACTGCTTCCTCCAAGATCTGTGGAAACCTCACCAGCCTGTTCCAGAGGTCTCCAAGCCTTGGTGGTGTGCCTGCAAGTACTGCTTTATGCCTCTAAGTGACATTGGAACAGTGGAATACGAGTGACAAAAATGTTGACTCTGTCCCCCTTCTACAGCTTCTGTGGGCAGGTCAACCTCAGTCTGTCTGGTTTGTCCTTGGATTGGTGAATTGTTCGATTTGAAAATCATTGAGCCTCGGCCTCTGGGCTCTGATGAAGTTTGACAGATGAACTGGGTCAGGCCTCTGTCCTCAGGGGGGCTACAGTGAGGGGATGGAGCCACTCCTCCATGCATCCCGGGGTTATTGAGGTCATGCAGCCCAGACATTGACCTACGGGCCGTAGACCCAGACGTGGTTGGTTCAAGTCTGGGTTTTGTCACTTACCCCTGGTAAAACCTGGGTCTGGTTATTTCACCTGTTTGAACCTCCCTTCCCCAGCTACGAATCGAGGACCATCGTAGGCCCTGCCTCAGAGAAGCTTTGAGAGGATTCAATGAATTGAGACATACAAAGTGCTAAAACAGAGCCGGGAACATAGTAGGTGCTCAGTAAATATTAATGATTTTTTTGTTTAAATGATCATAGGGTTATGGAGAGGAAGGACCTTCCAGGCAGGGGAACAGGATGGGCAAGGGCTTTGCTTCCTGTGGAAGGATGTCCTACGGAGTCAGCTGGGGCTTCCGCTGTAAGGGTTAGAACACAAATATGGTGGCCTTAAGCACTGTGTGTGTGTGTGTGTGTGTGTG